AAAAAAAAAAACCAACAGAGTTGTGAGGTTTTTTATTATTATATTATAAGGGACATTTATATCTTTAAATATTACATACATTTGAACCACCTTTTCTTTTTCCTTTAAAGATACTCGACACACATCGCCAGAGAAGTTTCAGCAGTGGGAATTAATTAGCTGGCTCCATACCAAGAGTTTAAAGTATATAAAAAGGAGGTTCACTTTAATCTGCCCCCGCTTTATCAATGTGTGTGCAGTGAGGAGCGATTCATCGCCATGCACCCAAACCTGCGTGTAGGGGAAAAAATAAAGAGCAGTATGAAAACCCAAATGAAGGTGCTAATGCAAGATGGGTAGAAGAAAAAACAAAGATAAAAATAAAATAAACAAATAAATAGAATGGAAGGAAAGGAGGGAAAAAATAAAATAAAGAAATAAGCTAAGAGAGTAATAAATCACGAAATAAACAGGAATTTGAGCCCCTTCCTCATACCGGCCTGCGAGTAGGAAGTGTTTTCGCAACGCTGTTGTTGTGTCCTCGCTCCGCGGGCTCCGCCGGGCTCCGCGCTAACTCTCTGCTTCCTCCCATCCCGCACAGGCTACTTCCCTCGCTCCGCCGCGCCGAGGGGGACAGAGGGGACGGAGGTGCCACTRGGTTTCACATCACACCGGCCGGGCGTCCACGCCAGGGAGGACAAGCGGCTCGGGAGCAAGGAGAAAAGGGAGGGAAAAAAAAAAAAAGGAAAGAAATAAGAAAAAAAATGTTGGGGGGCGAAACCAAAATCAAGCGCAGGTCTCTCCCTCCGCGCAGACATTGAACGTGGCCGGGGGCCGCGGTTCCCTCCAGCAGCCCCGCTCCGCTGCGCGGCCCGCGGCCTGGCCGCGCGCAGAGCTCCGGGCTCCGCGGGCGCGGAGCGGGCCAGGCCGGGCGGCGGCCGGCCCGGTTAAGCAGAGCGAGACTGGGGCCGAGCAGCTYCCGAGCCGTGCGAGGAGACACAGGCTCCGCTGTTTCCATCCGTCCATTTTATTAGGGACACATTAATCTATAATCAAATGCACCTCATAAAATTTTTATTGAAAGGCATAAAATCATTACAGAGGTCTTCCACCTGTTTTAAAACAACACAATGGACATCTCCTTAAAAAAAAAAAAAAAAAAAAAAAAAAGGAAAAAAAAAAGTGTATTCTTTCCATGGAAACTTTCGGGTGAGGGAGGGGCTGGTTATAATACCCGCACAGGCTCTGAAATATGGAAGTACCGCAATGTGCTTTTACAGTAACATTTTCCTGTTTTATGAGAAGTCGTTACAGTCCCAGCTTGCGATGGTTTGTTTTTACAGGCAAGAATCCCCCCTTCCCAGCGGGTTTCCTCTGCAGCTTGGAGTGTGATTAGCAAGCCAGGGCTGCGGGATTTATTTAAACACCCTGCCTCGCATTGATTAAGAAATGAATGGCAGAAATCACTCCAAGGAGGTGAAGAAATAGTCCGCGCCCGCGGAGGCCCGCGCGGACCCGCCCGCCGCACCCAGGGCAGTGCGGAGGAGCGCGGGGCAACGCGGAGGAGCGYGGGGCAACGCGGGGCAGCGCGGCGGGCGCGGCGCGGGCGCGCAGCCTTCGGGCCGTGCTGCGCGGGCGCTGTTGTTGATGATGATGATTTTTTTTTTTTTTTTTTTAATCACAGCAGCCCCAGTTTAGCGGATTGATTTACTCTCAGTATTGGTAAATATGATCACGTGGGCCCCGCGACCAATGGTTGAGGGTTGCAGTCTGCAAAATACTACGATTGTTCTCAGGGAGGGTATCATATACAGTTAACAGTGTAACCTTTTATATGACTAAGAGGGGAGCCTAAAATGTCGTCTAGTGGCACCATAAGTAACTATTATGTCGATTCTCTCATAGGCCATGAAAGCGAAGAAGTTTACGGGAGTAGATTCGTCCAGGGAGGTCACAGTGCGACCTCCAGGCCATCAGGTGTTGCAGAGAGTTCAGATTTTTCCTCCTGTAGCTTTGCGCCAAAATCCACCGTGTTCTCCACCTCCTGGTCCACGGTTCACCCTCAGCCGTCTGCGGCAATGACCGGGATCTACCACCCCTACATGCACCAGCCCCACTTAGGGGCCGGCGACACCGGCCGCTACGTGCGCTCCTGGATAGAGCCCTTCCCGGGATTCCCGGGCGGCGGCGGCAGCGGCGGCGGCGGAGGCAGCTCCGCGTCCAGCTCCGGCTCCTCCAACGGGCGCCACTACGGGATAAAGCCTGAGACGGGAGCAGCCGCCTCCTCGTCTTCCTCCTCCTCCTCCTCCTCCTCCAAAAGGACTGAGTGCTCCTCGTCCCGGGAATCCCAAGGGATCGCTGTGCCCGAGTACACGTGCAGCTCCTTCCTGCAGGAGCCCCGGGAGAAGGCGGCTGCCGGCAGCTCCAAGGACCCCGCCGCCTGCAGCCACAACCCCAGCCCGAGCAGCGATCTGAAGGAGGAGAAGCAGCAGCAACTTGACCCAAGTAAGTGGGGGGAAAAAAATAGGAGAGGGGCAGAGGGGGGAGAGAGAGACGGAGAGAGAGRGAAAGAAAAGAAAAGAAAGAAAGAAAGAAATTGCCCCTTTGATTTATTGCCGAAACCTGTAAGGCTCGAATGTGCAAAACTGATAGTTTTACTAACCTATAAAAACGTCTAGACGCCTACCCCAGCGCAAGCAGCAACAAGCACCCATAAAAGACTCCACATAACCACCTACCATCAAGACATCATTTGTACAGTAAACAGACTGGGGCATTAAGGCTTTTATGATAATTTCTCCAAAGTTGTGAAAACAGTCCATCCTTCGTTAAATTAATTTAACGACCTTTCTTTCCCCCCCCCTTCCCTATATACTTCCCTTCTTCCAGATAACCCTGCAGCAAACTGGATCCACGCTCGTTCAACGAGGAAAAAGCGTTGCCCCTATACAAAGTATCAAACTCTGGAACTGGAAAAGGAATTCCTCTTTAACATGTACCTCACCCGAGACCGTCGTTACGAAGTAGCTAGGATTTTAAATCTCACAGAGAGACAGGTCAAAATCTGGTTTCAGAACAGAAGAATGAAAATGAAAAAGATGAACAAGGAGAAAGGCAGTAAAGGAGACTAACGCTGGGCTAGAAATGCAGATGGGGGATATTGCTTTGGGTTTTTTTTTTTTTTTTTTGGTTCGGTTTTATTTTCCCTCCGGCCCCCCTTAGACCCGATGCGTTTCTCCTCCTCCTCCTGCGCCCCCCACCCCACCCGAGGAACTTTAAATCAATCTGGTCTTTTTTAGATAGAAGTGAAACGTGGTCTATGTCAGGTATTTGGGGAAATTTTGTCTTGTTCGCCAACGTGTTTTCCAGAGTCACTTCATTCTCCCCTCCTCCTTCCCAGACCGTCTGGTTGATGATATTGTGAGTGCACGTTAGCTTTGGGAACTCTCTCTGATGTTAAATGTTTGACATGTTTCTTAAAAGTGACGTAGTCTAGATACWTTGCCAAAGTAAAGGTAAGGAGAATAACTATAATTATGATGATAAAATATATATTAAATTACAGTCGCTTAAAGCAACGGGGGTGTTGTGTTGTCCATGACTCATTAAAAGGAAAYGTTATCCAAAACCCGCTTCCTAGGTCTGAATTTTGCTCCTTCGCAGTAAAAGCCGCCGCGGGAGCAGGAGACGCTCCCCGCTCAGMGCAGGGCGAGGCGGCGGCCGCTCCCGAGCAGCCGCTTCCAGAGGCCCCGCGTATTCCCGGTGCCCTGGCCGGCTGCCCGTGCCGCAGCCCCGCTCCRGCTCTGCTCCGTTATTCCATGAGAATAAAAACCGCCGCCGTGCTCGAAGGCAAGGCTCTGCCGTCCGCGAAGCGCCTTGMGCGCCCGCCGTCCCACGGGACCCACGCGCCTGCGAGCCGCCCAAGCCCCACGCGGCCTCCGCGMGCCGGCTCCTCCACCAGCCGAGTGCGTTTGGGGGAAATCTCGGGTTTTCTGTGTTTTATTTTTCTTTTTTCGCTCTGATAACAGACATTCGCTCTCGGAGCGGCCGCCTGGGCCGTGCGCGCGAGCTGCGCTGCCGCGCTAGGCGCCCCTCAAGGCGCGACGTGCGCGCCCAYCGTGTTTCCAAAACCAGCGAGCTTGCAGAGAGGATCTCTTGGGGTAATTCAGGGTATTTTGGCGGAATATTTGAGGAAGCGAAATGGTGCCTGCTCACTCAGAACTTGTGTGGTTTGAGGCCTTTTCTGTGCTCTTTAACGTGAACCTTGGGGAGCTGTGGCAGGAGCCGGCTCCTTTGCTGGAGAGGGCTCCTTCCGCGCCATGTCTCATGCCTACAGCGTTTATAAACACACATGACTTTATCAAGATAATTGAGATGAAGTTCATTGTAAAAAATGCTTTGTTTAAAGAGCAACCATTAAAATGAAGAACTCGTAAATATTTACGAGCAGTTCGGTTAATTCAAGATTAAGGGGAGAGCTGAGAGACTTGGTGTTTAATGTCTTTTTTTTTTTTTTACCTCTCTAAAAAAATTGGAGGAGGGGGGCAAAGGAATATAGTGCCAGGAAAAGGTGTTGCATTGCTTCCCATCCATTGTCGAGAAGATACCTATAATTCTTTTAAAACAGGAAGAACTGCGGTATAATAAAACCATTGAGATGGCTAGACGTCTGGAGCTAATGAGTTTACGATATGCTGTGGTGCTTTTCTTTGAACCCACCCTATTTTGATGTTTGTGTTTGTTAGGGGGAAAAAGGCAAAAATGCAGACAAACTAGGTTTTAAAATCTTCAACTATAAATTTCAATGTGTCAGGGTTGGACCAAGGCGACAGACTCAGAAACCCGAAGGTCATAAAACGAAGAGATTTTACAAAGTCGACTGATTTGTTGAAATGTGTTTTATTGGATTTTCCCCTATGATGAATCCTACCGTGATCGCGTCCATATTTTTGAAAATAACCGTGTGGGGGGAATTGATCTATATCTAACACCATGTAAACAATATTCTTACCACAGGACACTTCCTTATGGTGATTCTAGCAGGGACTCTGGTAGGAAATAGGCACCAAATTCTACTAATCTCATCTGAATATTTTATCTCAGGCACAGTGGCAGATTTAACCTTGCATATTTTTTTTCTCTCTGCCTTTCCCATTCTCTCCCCCCAACTCGCTTCCTATTTCTAATACTATATGTGTTTAATTCAAAATGGCAGACAAAAAAAATCAAGCGTCTCGAAATACGCAAAGCTATTCTTGCTATAGGATTACCTTTTTACATCAAACTAAACATTAATGTGATTCCTGTATGTTGGGTGTGATATTGTGTTTGTACGGTCGTGTATATTCGCACCCCCAGCAGACCAAGAAATGCCGAGGCATGTGTGGTGAAGCTGGGGCAAACAGAGCCCCATCTTCACTGTCATTTACATCAATCAATCTAGAAATACATAAATGCAAGCGTGAAAAAAAAAAAAACAAGTTCAAGAAAAAAAAAAAAAAGAAAAAGAAAAATATAGCTCTGAGACTACCACACATGGAGAAGTCGTGGTGTAATATGTGGGGAAACATGATCGAAAACGCGATAGCAGTGGTCTTCAAAGCTCCTTCTTCCGAGCTGGCTGCCATGTGTAAACGAGGCGCATTCTTTGTATGTAGTTAATTATGGCACTGGCAGAAAATTAAAAGAGGGTCACCGAAATGTGTTCAGAAAAAGGCATTGTGACTGCGAACGAAACAGAGGGAGAAAAAAAAGAAAATGAAAAAATATGAAGAAAAAATATGAAGAAAAAAAAAGGAAAGAAATAGAATAATGAAGAATTTCTTCGGTATCGGGAGCGAGGCCGGCGCGATGCAGTCCCCCGTCCGCCGTGCGCGCCCGGGCCCCCGCTGCCTTTGGCGGCCGCGCCGCTGCGCACTCCGGCTGCGCGGGGGCGGAGGCTCCGCGGAGCAGCGCGGGCGGG